AATTTTATTTTATTTTATTTTGTGTGTGTTGTTTGCTTTTATTTTGTAGATTTATTGTTTATAATTCTGTACAGCACTTTGAGCTGCTTTTAGTATGAAGGGTGTTTTATAAATAAAATTGATTGATTGACTGAGTTTGTTGTAGCGCTTCAGACTGAAAAAGTCTTGAGTAAAAGATGAAACGTTTCAAAAAAGAAGAATCTGTCCAGAGGTCCTGACTTAAATTTGTTAGATTTTTCTACCTGTACTTGATATTTTGTACCTGTACTCTATTTTGAAAACCTTTAGCAGAATTGGCTTCCATTAAATTTAAATCCAGTAAATTCAAGTCCGCACATTTTTTTAAAGATTTATCTGCAGTAGATCGTGCAAGAGAATGGTAATTTACAGAGAGCTATGCTATACAGAGCTAAGCAAAGCTAAGCTCCACCCAATAATATCACCACCTTCACAGTGCTTTCCTTCCCCTCATACCTACCACAAACAGTCTCTGACTCATGGTGTTGGTTTATAAATAATAGAGACTTTAACATAAATGAATCCAAACTCAATCAGAACAGTAAAATAACATGAAAAACCCATTTTCACATTAGGAAACACACACTCTCTGGGATGTGACTCACACATTTCACACATCTTAAATTTAATACAGATTTTACTGAAAAAAATATTGATGATGATGGACAGCAACATTGTAGGTAGTTTATAAAAGTAGTTAACCACAAAGAGAATCTCTAAAGTGAATTAATTCATAGTAGTAAATGACACATGGTAAATAGTAACAAATAGTAAATGCTTGCCTTTATGATGGCTTGGTTCTTGTCCCGAGTACCCAGACTCAAATGCTTTGGGCTGAATGGATCAGATCTTGGGGATTTTACTCAGTCACGTTCCTTCGGTGTGGCCATGTATTTTAGACATTTCGGAACCGAGTCGACCAACATAGACTCAAAGTAGATGTCATTAAGTTCTGCCTGTCCCCAAAACAACTGTGTGTTTATCTGAATTTGGTTCCCTTGGCTGGTCTTGAAGGCCACCTTATCTGAATTCGCCTGGAGAACATGTGATCTGACGCTCACCACCCTCCCTGAGGAATTTTCAACTGATAACCAGATGAACCAGCCGAATAAACTTTGTGTCATCATTTCAGGACTCTTGGATTCTCATAGACGTTATTCTTGGCCATTTCTCGACATACCTCGAGAATGTTTATGGATCTCACCAGAGGACATTGACTGATTATCTTATCAGAACTCTTACAGTGACCTCGAGTGCATCTATAAGCATTGTTGACCGCTCTCGTCTCCGTTTACAGAATGTCTACGTCACTGTGCTGTTTGTGCGAGGTGTTTCTTTAATATTAGAGGTTTTTTTTTCCTCAGGCAAGGAAAAAAAAAGTCTGATAGGAATTTTTTTTTGCCTCCAACTCCTACTTGTGTTCAGTTAACCACTGTTTTTGTCTGTCCAAACAGGTCTCACTTGTAAATGAGTCTTCGAGGCTCATTGTGATTTATCTGTTTAAATAAAGGTTGAATGAATGAACACAGGTATTTTTCATGTGTGGTACAGAATTAGATACATCCAATGTTTTTCAAAGTGACCTCAGTCTGAACGGTCATTTCACATTTCATACTACTTTTACATCAATGAGGTAGAGATAAGCGGATCAGTCCAAGTATTAATAATAATGATACCAATCTTGTGCAGTTTTAAAATTTGCTAAAGCTACAGAACAAAGCCCTGGAAAATTATAATTTATGTAAATGAAAATTTACAGCCACATATGATACAAATGTTATTGTCAGATTGCATCAAAACTAAAGTGATGGGATCAATACAAGTTTTTTTTTGCTCCCGTTCCAAAAATAATTCTGCACCAGAGGAGTCATTAAGAAGCAAGATTTGCTCATGCAAATCACTTCAGAACGATTAAAGGTTCACATTGCAGTCTGACAGAGGTTACATTTTAATGATAATGTGAAAGGCCATGCCAAAAAAATCAGCTCTGGGTAAAAAATTGAAATGGACCATTAGGACCTGCAGCGTAAACATAGACTAAGTAAACATCTTGCAGATTGTGACAACAAATTGTCCATAGTTTAGTGTCTCCATCACTTATGGGTCATTTAATTTCTTTCTTTTAGGTCTGCTCCGCCAGATTTTTCGGGGTGTCTATTTTCAAGAAACACTTGTGTTCATCGGAACATGTAAAGGTGAGCAATAAATTGCTTGTGTTGGTTAAAATATTTTATTACAGATTTGTCAAGCTTGTTGAGCTGGATTCATACTCAACCGACCTGGGACCCAAAGTCGCAGTTCAACTCCCAGCCATTCCCACATGTCATGGTGTCACTGAGCAAGACACCTAATCCCCGATTATTCCCTGGGCGCTTACATAGCTTCCCACTGTGCCACCTGCATACATTCCATGTGTGATGGGTTAAATGCAGAGAACTAGTTTTGCCATTATATGGGAACATACAATGATACAATCTCAGACTTCCCTTCCCTGTCCCTTGTTATAGTACAAGAATCAGCCACTGGATGACATTTCATAGACTATAGCTTGCTTTCAACATACAAGCAGACTGCATGATCGTCGTAAGTCTTCATGATGCCTCGCTATCTGACTCATGGTTAAAACCATTCAATCTACAAAATGAACACAAGAACTATCTAAGCATAATCAGTGGACCGAACAGTGCCAAACACCTATGTAACCTAAATTATTTAAAAATTATATGCAGGTCAATTTTACCCTTAGCAAGGGAGTCGCATAGGTAGTACTGGTAAAATATGGAAATATTAATTCAATTAGTACCTTTTGATTTTTATTGTTAAACACTTGGTAACAGCTGCTGTTTTCAAATGTACTTTCTAAATAAATTTGATGTAATTTCGGCTGAGCGGAGCCAACATGAGGAGGAGGAGGGAAGAAGGGGGAAGAGCCCCTCCCGTTTATCAGAGTCAGATTTATTTGTCATACACACCACACGTGGTACATGATGTGGGACATAACTATATACACAGGGTCCCAGTTACATCCCAACAAAAACAATTTGTAAAGATTAACATGAGTAAGATCTGAGTCATGAACTAAGAATATACTACATTCGCTAAACTAAAAATACACAAGACTAAGAATACGCAAAGCACCAATAGCACAAAAACAACAGCACAAGCATGTCTCCTCCGCTCGATTTCATTCGTTCTGATGTGAGCTTAAATGAGATATTGGTATTTAAACACATATTTACCGTACACAAAAAGATGTTGCACAGAACGAATTTTAAAACTTCTATTAAAATATGTACCAGACTTGTCTGCTTAAAAATAAATTTTGACGACTTCTGCTCGGCAGAGCCCATGCCATGACCCAGGAGGAGAGGAACATCAGGTCTCTCTTGTAAATGAGTTCTCGAGGCTCAATGGGATTAACCCGTCTAAATAAAGGTTGAATGAAAAAAAAAACATCCGATGAATGTTTTTTTTTTCTGAAAAATGCCTTTAACACAGCTTTAAAAAAATAAAAATAAAAGCACCAGTAGTCGACCAAAAGTCACTCATCGCTTTGTTCTTCGTCCTCCTGTGAATTAAAGTCCTCTTCAAGGCTCAGAAAAACGTGATCACACACTGCCTCGTCTCACTCTCAGCAGTCAGCTGTTTCCATGTATTTTCCATGATCGCTGCAGATAAATAAGTCTGTGCATGAAGCACAAAATACAGTAACAGTCTGAAGAAGTTAATGCACGTCTATATTTGGGGATGGTCCTCGAGAGTACCTCATTGGGTCTAAGGTTAGACTTTTGGTCTGGGGGCTGAGGTGGGGTAGAGGTAGGGCAGCCGACTCGGGACCCGAAAGTCCCAGGTTAGATCCCTAGCCATTCCCACATGTCATGGTGTCTCTGAGCAAGACACCTAATCCCTAATTGCTCCCCAGGTGTTTACACAGCTGCCCACAGCTCCATATGGGTGTATCCCAGGTGCGATGGGGTAAATGCAGAGAACCAATTTTGCCATTGTATGGGAACATACAAGGATGACAGTAGCACTTTATTTTACATGATGACAGAGTGGGTGGAGTTATAGTAGGACATTTGAAACCCTGAGCAAGAGGCTTTGTACATCTGATTACCTAAGGCATTCACTCTGTGTCACAAAAGCCCGCCCCCAAGAGGGATGGGTACTGGGCAGCCACATGAGCACCCGGCTCTGTCAAAAGAAAATGTTATTCAGCAGAAAGTTGCCGAAACATGGCAGGAAGTCTTGTCAAAATAAAATGTAAAAATAAAAATTATATAAAAAAAAAAAAAAAAAACACAAATTAGCCACTTCTGCCTATAAACAGCGGTGTACAAATTGTGGAAAAAAAGTAGTGGCTTGTACACCAGCAATTACAGTAATGCCTGTTTTTCTGTATGGATCATGACTGAATGAACAAAATCTCAGATACAAGGGTCCAAAATGAGCTTTCTTTGTGGAGTGGTTGGGCTCAACCTTCGAGATGAGGGGAGCTTGGAATAGATTTGCTGCTCCATCGCATCAAAAAGAGTCAGTTGAGGTGGTCTGAGCATCTGATTAGGATATCCTGGATGCATCCCTTTGAAGGTTTTCTGGGCACATCCCCCAGGGATGTGGCCCCAGAGAAGACCCAGAACTTTTTGGAGGGATTGTGTTTGTTTTATTGGATTGTGTATGTTTTATTGGTCTGGGAATGCCTTAGTCCCCCAGGAGGAGTTGGAAGGAGTTGGAGAGTGTTGCTAGGTAGAGGAATGTCTGGGTTTCTATCCTGGACCTGTTGCCTCTGCAACCCGACTAGAGATTGTATAAATTGTATAGAGATGTTGATAAACAAAAATTATATTCACTAATTGTATATTAAATGTGTGAATGTTATTTTTTTCCCCCCCACAGAAAATGAAGGATATTTTCCCACAAGGTAATGTTCATCTTATCTAATCTTTCATAGGTCTAAATTTTACTGATAACGATCACCCAGGTTTGTTTCCAGCACGCACAATATTTATTCCAAAATGTTTGTTTTGCACTTGTTTAGGTGCCATCAGCAATTTTGGTAAGTTCACTTTTTACTTTTTCAGTTTATTTTAAGTATACACAACAGTTTGTTTAATCTTGGCTCATAATGCTTGTTTTGCCACTATATAGAAGTGTAATAACCTTTTTGTTATCTTTTTTTTTATTAAGTGCCCCATGTGGTTTTTATGGACTTAAAACAGGCTCATGCAATCGAACCAGTAGTGGGTGAGAATGACATCCTCTTATCTCTAATCACATGATACAAAATCTACAGATGAATAAGAATCTAAGAATTGAAGATGCAGCATTTTTTAATGAAAACTTGTTTTAAATATACTTTTCTTGCAGGTTTGTCTCTGCTCACTCTGTGTTTCAGTCCAAGGTTGGCAATGTACCTCTGCCATGTCTGTGAGCAGTGCGTACCACTAGACAGAATTTTAAACCACATTTTTTCTTCAGAGCATTGCATAAGCTACTTTGTAAGTGTTAAACCTAATAAAATAATAATAAAAAAAACCTAACAAATAAATAGCATTTTAAAAACGTTGAAATATGTTTTTTTCAGAGCTACACAAACCCAGATGTTTTGAGTTTCTCCTGGATCCCTCAGATGATCATGAAAAACATTTTGCGGCCTAAGTTGAAACAGGAAGGAAGGAAACCTGATCTTCAAGCCCTGCAGGTTGGTATGGTCGTATATCATTACAACCAATGAGTCTGATATATTCAAATCATGTCATCTTCCATATTCACCTTTTATGGAAGTTAATCACATTATCTTTGAAGTCATGGTGATTATAAACAAAAATAGTAAACTGAGGCTGTCATTAATATCTTGAGGAGTCACATCATCATTTCCAGGCAATTAATTTAGTTTCTGTGTACTTTGACTTTTTATGGCTGCCGTATCAAAAATGGCTCTAAAGACACAATACATGCCATACCTGCAAACATGTCACTTTTCAGCGAAATTTGCCGATTTCAATCAAAATGTAATTTATCTGAATCATGTAGATCTGAAGCGTTTTGTTCGGGGGCGTGGTGGGAGGCTCAGAGGCGTGGTAGATGGCATAATTCCCATTAACTGGACTTTAAGAAACAAGGTTTCTGTCTACAATAGAACATCTTCACCAGTCATTTGGGCAGTCACAATCAAGATAGACAATAGGGAAATCTTTCCCATGGATGAAGGAAACTGGTCTGTGTTATAACTACCGGTAGTCACTTCTAATGTTAGACAAACACTGTTAATTTTGAGGTAAGTCTCATTATCTGCCAATTATATAATATGCTTTTTAAGTTGGGACTTGATTTGGCAAAAAAATTATTCTACTTTAACAGTGTTGTGTGTAATCCATTACCTTTTCCTACATAACGTTAAACATAACGGAAAGCTTGTCACATGTAATGATGTCAGGATCAGCTAACATCAGTGAATTGTGCGTTAACGTTAGCCTACAATGTCACTCTGGTCAATGCAAATAATTTTGGGAAGGCTATCTCTAATGCATCCATGTATGGCTGTACGATAATGTGTCATTGTCATAAGATGAGAAAACTAAAAACTAACGCATAACGTTGATGCCAATGAAACGCGACACACCAGAGTTTTGGTTAATCGATCAAAACATCTGCTCTTGCTGATTAGTAGGGCAATAAATAAGAGCAAGAGAGTGTGGCAGACCTCCCTCACTACAGGCGCTAGATTTGTCACCTTTTTCGTCCCTTCTGAGTTTGCTGGTATGACATGCGAAGACCAAACAATTGAAATGTTTTTTAAAAATACTTACATTGAAGAACAGCTCCAGGCTTTTTTATTTTATTTTATTTATATTAAACAGATAGTCAACATTCAAAAATGATACCTTCAGAGACTTTGAGTTTAAACGCAAGTTGCCACTACATAAGGTTGATATTTGTAGCACCAAAAGGGGCAGCGCTTGTTCCTTCTGCCTATTTAAGCCAGTGATTAAAAGTGCGGTCAACTGTCTTGCTCCAAAGAAGGAGGTCTGACAAAAAAAAAGTTTGAGAACCACTGGCTTAAAATAACTTCATGCTTTTTTTTTTTGTTTGTTTGTTTGTTTTGTTTTTTTGTGAGACTGAATTACCTGAAAACTTGCAAAATTTACTACATGTGCATTAGTTCACTACAGCACTGCTGTAAAAACAAATACATTAAAATACACTTGTCTGAAAATTATTAACAAGATTATGTATTTATATCACTTTTATGTGCACAGATTTTTCAGTTAACTGAGCAGCTGATGGATAGGCTTTTAAATAAAACTTACTCAGAAGGTAAATTACTTTTATTGATCTATTCTGCATTTGATAATCTTCTAAAAGTGTGTATTAATGAGCTTTGTCCAATTATTCCTTGCAGTGATGCAAACTTTAAGTGAAAACAAGAATCTTTTTGAACTTTTTAAAGGTAAGTTCGCATTTTTTTACTGATTAATTATAATTCAGGGAATTACTGGGTCAATTTACATTTAATCCACCACTATATGGAATGAGTCGGCTACAGTTATCTAAACAGCAACATTATTTTGTTGTAATCACCTCTCGACTAAGATACCAAATGCTTGGTTAGGAGTATTCTATCCACCTTATTCCTAGCACCTATGCTGCCTTGCATGAATTATGGGCACGACTTCAGGCATCCTTTAGATGAGTATTGTTGAACACAAGTAAAAACAATATCTAGTGATGATGTTTTTTATTTCTCTATAAACACAAATAGTGCTGACCTGACGCTGTGTGTTAAAGTCCATTAAAGTTGAAATGTCTTGAAAACCCCACAGCTGAATTTACACAAACTTGGTGAGAAACATGCTTTAAATGTGTGTAATTAAAATAAGGAAATCTTGGTGAAATGTTGCTTTTATTGTACACAAGTGTACACTTTTTTGCACACTGGTGCGTGTGTGTGCTTGTATGCATGCACGTGCACACACACACACACAAACTGTGTCCCCCCCCCACATAACAAATGCTTCTGACACCCTTGGTTGTAGCCACTGATTTAGTTTGGTCTGGTTATTCATGCTGCTGCGAACAGCACAACAGGTACCTGAACTCTGCAGGACTGTTGGTAAACTTTACGGTTGTTAAATAAATGTGAACAAAACGAAAACAGCATTTTATCTGCTAAACTGAATGCAAATTATTTTCAAATATACCGCGGTCCATGCTTCAATAACAATAATTCTAATAATGTATTCAATTTGTACTGCACTTTACATTTGCAATTGCAAAGTGCTACAGTACAAAACATCTAAGAGAATAAAACATGGACTAAAAAAAGGACTAAAAATTTAAAACTAAAAATATTATAAAAACTGCAGAATTAAAAATACATTTTAACACTATAAAATTGTTCAAATAAAAAGGTCTTCAGTCCTTTCTTAAAACTTTCTGTAGTCTGGGGTATCTTTAGATAGTCTGGGAGGTTGTTCCACAGATGAGGAGCAGCAGAACAAAAGGCTCAGTCACCCATGGTGCACAATTTTGTCTGGGGTGGGCGGAGCTTGTAGGAATTTGTGGAGCGGAGGGATCGCTTCACTACCACAATTAGCCAATGCGTATTGCTATTTTCGGTGTCTGACAGGAAGTTGTACCCATAATTATTTTTTACAGTAGAACCCCCAGGAATAAGGTACATAAGTCTAAACGTATCTGTTATTCACTGGCTATTTGCCAAAGTCATCAATAAATACTGAAATGTTGAAATGGTCTGCAGGATAATTGAATACAAAAGTTGTTATTGTCCTTTTAGTGTTGTCAATAAACCAGGTGTCTGTAGTGGTAAAGCATGACAGACGACCAGCTTTAATAAAGGTGAAGCCTGATCAAAGTTCTCCTCAGCAGCTGAGAACAGAAGGACTGTACTCCTGCTTTAAAACCAGCTAGTAATGATAATGTGCAACCAAAAGTGTTTTACTGCTTTTATAATGTGCAACCAAAGCTGTTTTACTGTTTATTCATAATCAACAAATAATCAAGTAATGGAAGTATTAATCTTTAAGAAATTGTATAAATTTTTGTATAATTGTGTGATTTACTTTTACTTGTGAAATGGTAAAGTTAAAGAGGCCTCATGCAACAGTGAACATGTCTGAACAAGAAGTCAGGGAGTTCGACCTCAGCTAAACACATGGGGACACACCTTTGAGCAAACACATGAGGACACATCCTTGAGCAAACAAAACAAGTTCTGGAAAGTACCACGAAAACCGGTCCGAACTGGTTGAGGTGCAAAACAGCAGAGAAGTTACAGGAATAGAGGTGCTGTAATTTTCCATAACCCCTCCTTAAGAGGAGGAGGAAAAAAAGAGTCTTTAAATACAGGTTGAACAGAATAAACTTGGTCAATGCAAGGTCGGAGCTGAACAGAAGGTACTACAGCAGAGAGCAGTTAGAAGATCAGAGACGCCCGAAAGAAGTTGGATTATCTCGGTTTGGGACAAGGCTAGGGACCTACTTCTCTTTCCACCGAAATGGGATTGGATTAGGTCTCCACTTGCAACAGCAGACCGGAGAGAGGTCCTACTTCTAAAAGCTTGGCCCGGGCCCGTCCAAACTCTGAATTCTTCAATTTGGCATAGATTGCTCCTGCCCTGGGTAAGGCCCGTATCACCCTCCTGGAGAACGGGAAATATGCCGTTTACTGACCCAAAGATTCTCTGAGAGACACCTCAGAATCATGGTAAGCAGACTACCCTGTCCTTCTGGTCTAAATAAATTAATTCATCATATTAGAAATTTAGTGTACAGGACAAATTCAAGAATATTAAATTGGATGCTAGTGGGATTTGCTCGAAGGTGTTTCTGGTTCATGAGGGAGTTGAGGGAGAACATATTTTGGCTTGATTTGTGAAAGGTCTGAGGGAAGGTAGTGTTCGCAAAGTCCCCAAGGGCTCTTGGGGATTAGAAGTCATCAGGAAGGTCCCATTACCTTATTTTAGTAAAGAAAGAGTATCCGCTGTAATCATGAAAATTAATCATTGTAAAATTGTGCCTGTTGCTGTACCCCCACGCAAATTGATGATTAAAGCAAAGCAAAACGTATAAATCTGGGCTATTATTTCATCCTTATCAACCAAATACATGGTGAAGCTTGGTTCAACTTAACAACACAATAATAGGAGGTTTTTGTAAAGGTTTCCTAGTTGGTGAGAGACAACACCCTTGTGCCCGTTTCCAGGGCCCTAAAGATTACCAGAACAGATAACAATTGCAACGCTAATGTAAGAGGTGAGCGGCCACAACGCGAGTTTCTTTGGACCAGAAGAAACCGTCCCTGCTGCTTGGAGGTTCGAGGTAACAGAGTGAGATTAGGGTGTGACTCACGGATTTAAGGTCGTTAATATTCTGGATGAATCACCTCGCCGCAGCCTTAATGAGGCTACTTTAGACAGCTACAGGTAATACCACGGCGCTGAAGTAAGCTTCCGGACCCCTTGGAGGAGAGGCTGCAAGCAAAGGTGCTTATCGCTACTTCCAGTGGTTACCTTTGCTTATCGGAAAGCAGACAGTGATCAGAGAGCACTTATAGACACATTGATATTGTTCTTTAGCATTGGACTCCAGTGCACCCCCTCCATTATTCCAACAGTGTGTGTCAGATGTTTAGTTACTCCTCTGCCTTCTTTAGTGGTAATGATACATGTAACAAATGTAGTCTTATGGTAGCTTTGGAGGAGAGGCTGTCTGAACTGGAAGCTCGGCTCTGCACTGTAGAAAAACCAGTAGCTAGCCAGGTCCCCTTAGACAGCGCAGAACCACAGATGCTAGGTCCCGTTAGCGGTCCTCCAGCAGACCCCGAGCAGCCGGGACCCCAGGCTGGCTGGGTGATGGTCCGGAGCAAGCGTAGTGCTAAGGCTAAACCCCCAGTTCACCACCGACCCATTCACATTTCTAATAGATTTTCCTCACTCAGTGACACACCCGCTGAGAAGCAGACCCTGGTTATTGACAGCTCCAAAGTCCGAAACGTGGCTTTAGGGACTCCAGCGGCAATAGTCAAATGCATTCCGTGGGCCAGTGCAGGCGACATAGAATCTTATCTGAAACTGCTGACTAAGACTAAGGCTAAGACTAAATACGATAAGATTGTTATTCACGTCGGCAGTAATGACACCTGGTTATGCCAAACGAAGGTCACAAAAATTAATGTTGCTTTGGTGTGTGACTTTGCTAAAACCATGACTCCATAGTTTCCTCTGGCCCCCTCCCCAACCTGAGCAGCGATGACATGTTTAGCCATATGTCATTGTTTAACCGCTGGGTGTCCAGGTGGCGTCTGACAATGACGTGGGCTACATAGATAACTGGAGTTATTTCTGGGGAAAACCTGATCTGATGCAGAGAGATGGCATCCATCCCACTTTGGACGGAGACACTCTTCTTTCTAGAAATATGGCTAATGTTGTTTATCCCCCAAATTATTGACAACTCATGGTCCAGTCCAGGAAGCAGAGTTCTAGTCCTCCACACTTCTCTGCTGCTTCTCCTCTGTTACCCACCCACACCCACATTGAAACAGTGTCAACTCGCCCACGGATCAAATTAAATAAACCAAAAACCAGCTCTAAAAATATAAACCATAAAAATCTGATTAAAATAAACACAGTTACTTTACCAGAGCAAAATCATACAATCATTAAATGTGGATTGTTGGACATCAGATCTCTTTCCTCTAAATCCCTGTTAGTTAATGAACTGATAACTGATCATCATATTGATTTATTCTGTCTGACAGAAACTTGGCTACAACAGGAGGATTTTGTTAGTATAAATGAATCCACTCCTGTTAATTATTTAAATTTTCATGTTCCTAGAACAACTGGCTGAGGTGGAGGAGTAGCTTCTATTTTTCAGTCAGGATTATTGATTAATGCCAAACCAGTTATTAGTTATGATTCTTTTGAGTCGCTGTCCCTCAGTCTTTCTCATCCAAAATGGAAATCAGAAAAGCCACTTTTACTAGTTGTTATATATCGTCCACCAGGTGCTTACTCTCAGTTTTTGTCTGAATTCTCAGAATTCTTAACAGACTTAATAATAAATACTGATAATGTCATCATAATAGGTGATTTCAATATTCATGTAAATGTTGAAAGTGATAGCTTAAGCATAGCCTTTAATAATGTAATAGACTCATTTGGTTTTACCTACCCAAAACGTCTGCACATCTACTCATTCTTATCATCACACTCTTGATTTAGTTCTGACCTATGGTATAGAGATTAAGGACTTGGTAATAGTTCCTCAAAATCCTATTCTGTCCAACCATTTTTTAATAACCTTTGAGTTTACATTAAATGACTGCACAGTCACAGAGTAAATTTCATCTCAGCAGGTGCTTATCAGAAAATGCTGTAACCAAATTTAAACAATCTCTTCCATCAATGTTTTCCTCTGTCTTGC